CTATACATATAGTCCCTAATTCCCATGTCATTACCAAATAAGTACTTAGTAAATTAAAGCAAATTACTATTTTGTTAAAAATAAAAATACTTCAATTACATACTACTATTGGCTAAAAGAATACTATAAAATGTCCACATATTATATGGTGTCTGACTATGTAATTACAGATAGTTAGTGGGTTATTGCAATAAAATAATTTTAACAAAGCCAAAATTACCTATTAATTACTTATGTGTTAAACAATAAATTGCAATATATTACCAGGTAAGTTCTGCAGTAAAGTATGTATGAAAAAGTATGTAAAGTGTGTAAAAATAACGTTGTAATCTGTTGGCAAATAGTGGGTAATTGAGATACTATTGAACTGTAATTGTAACAAAAATACCCACTAAAATCTGTTTATTATATGTTCTTACCAAGTAATTGCATAGTAAATTGCAGTAATTACCAAGTAATTGCATTAAAATTAAGTAAAATGATTTTATTTATCATGTAAGTACTAGGTAATTGCACAGTAATTAGGAGACTGTAAAAGAAAGGGTTACCAACAATTGCACATAAATCTGCACTAAAGAATATATTTGGTGGTTCATTTAGATATTTTGCTAACAGATAAATAAAACAAACATAGAAAACCACCACTACCTGCCTTCCACCTTCCTCTGCAGGTGAGAGAGGTGATGTAAGGATGTGAAAATGCAGGTTCTGTCTTCAGGAAAGGTCGTTTTGTGCAACAGATTTACTTACATCCGAGTCCTGAATGAGGAAGTGTTTGCAGGAGCCGTCCCACTGCACCGACAGCACGTAGCCCTGCTTCTCCTGACTCTTCCTCACCAAGAAGTCCCCGTTGTTCTGCAGCAGCTGCTGGACCTCCAGTCTGGGGATGGCCCCGTGGTACCAGTCCTGCTGTCCCAGAGGACGGTCCACGTCCTGCACCAGGGACTGGACCTGAACTACCTGGAGGAGAGAGAGGGGGAAAAAACGGGATCTTTGCTCCAGCTGAGGGGAATAACAAAACCTTGGAGGACGGAGTTCAGAGAGATTCTGCAGAGATTAGGTGGAGACACTTCAAAAGAGAGTCTAACCACTCCATCGTTTCTGCCTCCAGGGCAACAAAGTGATGAAAGTTTAAAACGGAAGAAGGAGCTCACACACACACACACACACACACACACACTCAAAAAGTGTTTTTATAGCTCAAATCCATAAAAATCACTATTTAGAGCAAACATAAGTTCACTTTTATGATTCACAAGCTGCAGGTGTGGCTGAAATCTGGTGTTTTACTGAGTTTAATCCCTAATTTGCACTCTGAGCTCYGACTGATTCATCTGTTTAAAACTTTTTAATTGAATTAAATCAACTGCCTGTTAGCAAAACATGTTGAGAAGTGAATTAATTGTGCAATTTGAATTAAACTCTCAGAAAATTAAATATTAGCAAAACATCTACAAATTATTAAAGTTTTGAGATTCAAGATGGTCTTGATGGATTGAACAACACTGGTTATAATTCAGTCAGTTTTACAGATAATGAGCTATAATATGCCGTGGTGTTAGCTGACAGTCATCCACAACAGACCACCCAAGATATCACATGACATCACTGACCAACACAACTATAATTCTGYCATTTCTCAGCATAAAACTATCTTAAATTAAAACTATTATAAAAGGTGACGATGCATTCATGGTGACCCCATCTTTAAATTTAATATAAACTCAGTGACCGAAAAGGAAGCTTGAATCTAGGCCAGGCCAAAGAGAAAGAAAAAGTGTAAAAGTCATTTAACCTGAAAATGTCCCAACATGCAGTCAGAGTGTGAAACCTCAGAGAGGCCTCTGAAACTCTGCTGCTGTTTCTGCAACGTGATTTATTGGTTGTTGTGCAGCGAGAGGATCAGAAAACACTCAGGTGCTGCAGAGAGGCTCCGCTCAGGGACAACCATGAAGAAGGACATTTCCTTCAGGCAGGAGCAGAAGYGTCCTTCACTCTGAAGTGTAAACTCAGCAGCTGTTAGACTTTAAAAGCACTGAACCAGAATAAAACTCAGCTAAACAATAAAACCTGTTTCTACCATTTTTATTGATCKTATTCACTGAAACTAATAAGACAAGCTTGATGGAGATGTATAAGCCCCCCCCCCCCTTTTTTTTTTACTCATTTTAAATAAATCAGCAAGAAACCCTCCAGGATTTCTGCTTCTGAAGTCTTTGAACATGAGGGGAGTTAAACCAGACCTTCACCGTGTCCCTGGAGCAGACAGAACCTGGAGGGAAAAGTCAGGCTAACTCTGGAAAACAATTAACTCAGGGTTTCTGAATATCACGTTAACCTCTTCCTGACCGAATTATCAAAATGTTGACTTTGTACATAATCTGTYGAGAAACATATTCTGGTTGAACCAGATGAGTTTCATCACATATGGWGCTTAAATATGTTTTTTTTTAATCTGTTGAGAGTTAATAGGATGAATCAAGCTTCTCTAATTTGGCTCCAATTCTGTAATCCCAGGATTGTTTGTTCGTTTTAAACAAAGAAATACAAACTCTTTGTGTTAAAGCTTTAAAACAAGAAGGTTTTCACGGAAGCACAGCTCTTAGGTGTTTCTTTTAAACATATGATGTTATTTTGGACTCACCTCGTTTTTTTGTCTAAAAATGCTGCTCAGGTTGTTTATGATGCCGTCTTTGAGTTTTGCTGGAAACTGAGTGTTGTCCTGAAGAGACAGAAACACTGAGTCTGCTGAAACTGAATAAAACATCAAACGTTTCAAGGTTTTCACTGACATTTTTTTAAACCTTGTTGTCGTCTCTGTAATCTTGTGCTTTTAAATGAAAATAATTTTTTGATTAAACCTCACAATGTTTTTCATTGGTGGAGTTGCCACAGCGAGTGAACTCACGTCAAAGTTTCTACAGTTGGTTTTACTGTTGACGYCCCTCGTAACGCAACCTGACCTCAACATGACAACCTCAGGATTACAAGTCTGACCGCTGAGCCACCCTTAAACTCATTTTTATAACCTATACGTTTAACCTTCTCTGGAGCAGATAAAGGATTTAAACACATTAAAAAAATGGCCAACTCAGAGCGAGCTTACATTGGATGTACGGGACGTGAGGGAAACCGTGTCCGTCTCCAGCCTCAGGGCCTGGGGAGGCTCCTTGGTTCCCAGCTGGTCCAGTTTGTCCTTCAGCAGAAGTCTCTGGATGTCCAGCCTGGCCTTGATGCCCTGAGACAGAGCCACCTGCTGCCGGCACTCCTCCATGGCGTGTCTCTTACTGAACTGGTAAACCCTGGAGAGACRACAGAGCAGCGGGACCTCAGGGGCTTCTTTGTGTCTGATATTCAGATTTTATACAACCAGGCTAACAAATCTTTAGATTTTCCAAAAATAATCAGATCATTCTTTAAGAATTTTTGAGTCAAGTTGATATTGTCATGTACTGTTTATAAATTGGCTTTTACAGCATCTAAATAAACTTAAATGCAACTCCACACTGCAGTCTGAGTCGTCTTCCATGTGTTTAAGAAGAGTTGAGTTTCTTTTTTTAAACTATGAGTCTGGTGTTTTTGCTTTAGCTGTCATTCTGTAATAATAGCTTTATTTGACGTGTGGCCAACTGTGGGAAAATGAGTTTAATCCATCATCTCTGCTGCTTCCTGTCTCAGTCATAAAAATGATGCATCTAGTGTTTAATAACTAAAATCTATCAAATCTTTGAAAAGCAGTTCGCAGTGTTTGTTTTTATGATTTGTAACTTTTATGAAAACATCAGATGAGCAAGYTAATTTGGGTTTCTTCTTTCATCGTTTTTACTTTATATTGATTTGGGTTGCGAGTTTTTGGTTATTTTGTATTTCAATGAGTTTAATTCTGTTTTAATGCAGGAAATCTGTCATTTATTCTAAAAGAAGGGTTTCTGTCTTTTACKTATTGATTCATTCATCCATATTTTTGATTACAACAAGGAATGAGAAAAGTCAAAGGTGTCACAGACAACGTACCCACAGGACTCACAAGTGCTTTTGGGAATGATGGATGGTCAGTGATGGRCAGGTTCTTAAACTTTAAAGRTTGGACTGCTGCGCATCTTTAAGTGTTTATTTTGSTTTGCAAAGAACCAACTTCTAATCAGAAAAAGGACAAACTTGTCCAGAACTGTTSTGCTGCTCAAATGTTCAGATTACTGWCTAAAATAGCAATCTGGATACRCAAATGATTTCACCATGAAAATAATGCATTATGGTAATTACTATAGTAGCTCACAATATTAAATCTACTGCCAGAGAAAACTTTAGCAGCTTTATGACCAGTGGGGCTGGATGATAAGCACATGAACTTGAGACAGGCTGACCTGATTCATTTAATGCTGATCTTAGTCAAACATCCCACATGCAGACAGGTGTGGGCCAGAGCTGGCTCACTGCTGGCATGGTAACCAGATGTGGGCCAGGTCTGAATATACTGTTTATATAATGGTTTTCCACAACTGGCCCCAACAACACCAAGGGCCAAATTCTTAATTATTAGAAGTGGCCAAGATCACTCCATTCCACAACTGGACCAGTTGTGGKTTCCTGTGTGTACTGGCACAGTTATGGTAAGTATGCATGGCCYACATCTGTTCATGTCATAACTGGACCACTTGTTTGGTGAACAGACACACACACAACAACAACCTCACTCCTGATTCAACTTGTATTCCAGATTTTGTCAAATTTGYGCAATAAACCACATTAACAGAAGAATATTTTACTTAATTTGAGGAGATTTAGATTATAATCTAGTGTTCTTTAAYTTAATTTTAGATGGCTAATGTTTGCAGTGTGTAGCCTTCTGCAGACTGTTGTTGKATATTTGTAAACGAAATGTAGGCGACAAATTTGATCACTGTCAACCACAACAAAATGTTTACCACAAAACCTCTGCTCTAATATTAGACCATGATGTGACAACCTGAAGTTTTTATTATTCTATATACTTATTGGCATGTATTGTTGCACACATGCACAAGTATTAGAGGGCACAGTGATCATCATGACCCACGTTCACAGTCGTTCAGTCGACACACCCCACACCGGACACTTTGCTTTGTTTGGAGCTGCATGGAGGAGAGGCGTTAAATAAACCAGAGCTGTTTTCAGACGAGGTGTCAAAGAAACATGCAGAAGTTTAACGTGACGACTCATGAAGAACTGAGCTGCAGGAAGCGCAGGAGGCAGTTAGTGATGGGATCCAAAACAAAAACGTGTTAAATTAAAATGTTCTTCAAAGGAACCCACGTCCCCCCACCGCTTTTCATGTCAGAGTTTTAACCTTACAACACTTTGTGTTTGAAGGGAACTGAGTTATGGCCTTTGGGGGTTCATTAAAATTTGTCCACTGATTAATTTTGCTAACAGAAAAGGCACACACACACAGAGGCAGAAACGTCCTTCCACCTTCGTCTTTACAGTGGAGCAGTAATAAATCTGGCATGAACTGAGGTGAACAAGTACAAGAGTTTAGTAATGATTGAACAGAAACAGAAGAAGTATTTATAAAACAGCTGCTGATGAACGGACTGAAGCAGATGTGAGAGAAGCTTTAAAAATCAAACATAAAATCCAAACTCTTGACAACAATAAATGAAGGAACCAAAAGAGAAGCTCCATTATTTTTAATGAGTCGCTCAGGGGGGAGTTTGATTTAGAAAAATTTAAATAAATAAATAAAAAAACCTATAAATGAAGGAAAAAATTATTAAATCAGCAGCTTTGTGGACATGGATCTCATCCTGATCTCATTTAAGAAGCAAAAACATCAAATTTCTTCTTCCTTCAGTTTTTAATGTAAGACATTTTGTTTTGTTTTGTGCTTTTTGATTAAAAAAACAACTTTTTAGACTTTTGGAGTTGTCACAATTCAAAAGAACTACTCTAAAATAAACTAACTGTCATTATATTTATAATAATGAGTTTTTTTATTCATTTAAAAAGTCAACACGGTCTCTGAAAACTGAGCTACAGAAACACCCAGTCTGACAGATACAGGAGGTCATATTTAATAGAGGCAGCTTTTCCTGCTAATTTACAATTTAATAAACACACCGAAAAGGCAGCCCGACCTCTAACACCCCCCCCACCACCTACACACACACACACACACACACACACACCACATGTGCTTCTCAGCTGCTCCTAATAACATTTAGAGAATAAAATCATTGTTGCCTCTTGTCCTTCAGGAGTTTGATAATCAGTCCCCCAGGAGTGCAAACCCCAAAAACCTCATCAGGCAGGAAGAAATGAGGAAACTGAGATCCATAACTCTGAACATATTTTTGTAATTATAATTAATAAAACCGTCAGCTCCTCCTGAGACCACGCTGCTTATTAGTTGCTGCACATTAAACTCTCTTGTTGTGGGGGCAGGGCTCTCAGGTTCATACCTGGCGTTAAAAAAAACAACTTCAGCGATTCAGGAAGTGGTCAGATCTGACTGAGAGCRTTTACGCTCAGCAGCAAATGAGTTCCCAAACACAGTTTAGTGCCACAGTTCTTTACAGTTGCCAAGGGTTGTGAGTTTTTATTTAATTTATTTTCCTGTTTGAAGTGTGTTTGGAGCATCAAGTATAAATTAAAATGTTTAAAAAAATGTCTCTAACACACTTATTATTTAACTCACTGTTCTTACTTTTTGCTAATTTTAATTAAATGTTAAGTTGAAACATTACATATCTATAAATATCAAATCCTAAATCTAAAAGTAAAAGTTTAATTTTAAATGTGGCTAAACGTTGAAGCTTACATTTAGGTATTTCAGAATGGAACACAGCCTTYGCTGTASGTGCTTGGYYCYATGACATCATCRTCCTGAGACAAAAGCAACTGCTAACGCTTTAACGCAACTAACTCCGCTACAGCTTCCCTACAAGACATCAAACCTGCAGCTGGGGCTAGTGTTCGAGCTACACTTCAAACTGCCGGAACACAGTGTGGATGGTACATCCATTTTGTTTTCAATGAACACATTTTGTATTGAAATTTAATAACATTTTTAGCAGCATTAGCAGCTAGCATTTGCATTTGTCAAAGTGTGATGACATCAAACGCAATCGCTAACGCTGCTCGATCTACTAGCACTGCTAAAGATGGCATTTCAGATTTAAATTCAAAATATTTTGAATGAAAACATGTACCATCCATACTGTGGTCGGGCAGTTTGAAGTGCAGCTCGGACACATTTGATGTCTTGTAGGGAAGCACTAGCAGAGTTAGCGGTTGCTGTTGTTGCAGGATGATGACATCATAATAAGAGCCGAGCACCAACAGTGAAGGCTGTGTTCCATTCGGAAATGTAAGCTGCAACACTGTGGGGAGAAGGAGTGGGCTATGGGGTTGTTTATGAAAATTATATCATTTTATAATGTCATTCCCTCACCAACAACACACACAGAGTGTTGCTTTGACTCATTCATGTATGTTTGAGAAATCCTTGAATCTCCTGTGGTAGCCATGTGGAGCTGCCTGAACGCTTGCTGGTACAAAGCCCCGCCCATTTACACAAAGCTCCTCCCTAGAGCTCAGTCTGSAGCCGAGCTCCCACCCCACAGAGCACCCCTTCCCTCATTGTTTCTGATATATACAGCGTTTTCACAACAACTGAAGGTAACATAGTTACTTGATTGTGGTATAGAATTTAAGTATGTGCCCTTTTTAAAATTAAACTTTTATATTTAGATTTACACATTTGGATTTAGGATTTAATATTTACACATATTATTTAAAGCTTAAATTTAGCGTTTAGTAAAAATTTGTAAAATGTAAGAGCAGTGAGCCGAATAACAATAAAAAGTTGACACTCAAAGCGAGCTAAATAATGAAAATGTGTTAGTAACATTTTATTTCACACTTGGAGCCCCGTGTGAACACAACGTCACTGTCCTGCTGGTCTCTGCAGGCTCCTCACCTCTGGCCTTTCCTCACTCCTTCCTGCTCGTCGTCCAGCTCCAGCTCCAGCTGTTCCACCGACATCTGCTGAGAGCCCAGAGAACAGGCCAGGTTCAGCAGCTCCTCCTCTATCGCTGTCAGTCTGATGAATGAAAAGAACGAATGCAGAGAGCTCACGTGAGGAGAGGAAGCGCAGGAGGCATAAATAAATGTGTAAAGAGGAAACTGTTGAAACACCGAGGAAACTAGTTTTGTTATTTTAATGGACGATTGCGGTTTCTGTTCTCACTTGTGCTGTAAAGTCTCAAGGGTGAGGTCATTCACTTCGATCTCCTTGGGCTTCAGCGCCTCAGTGTCCTCCAGGAGGCTGCAGTCAAAGTCTGCACAGGCGGGAATCTCCCCCACAGACCTGAGGWCACAGTGTTTTCTCAGTGAGGATGGAGGTGTGTGTGATGCAGCCGAGTGGGGGAGGGGCGAAGGTCTGCCTCGGTCTACCTGTTCTGATGGATAAAGTTGTCGTACTCGCTGTCAGGACTGATGGCTGTCAGAGCGGCTGACATCTCCCGGTGGAGCTTCACCACTTCGTGATGGAGGAGGGTGGAGATGTCGAAGTACTCCTGCAGGATCTCCTTCCTGCAGCAACACGTCAGGGAGGGCAAAGGGAAAATGAGGAAGGGAGAAATCTGATTTCAGATCAACAGAAACCTCCAGAAGATTTCACATTACCCATTATTATCAGAGGCCTAGCATTCTCCTGAAAATGCCTGCAGGCACGCCTCAATAAAGCATAATATGACTGAAAAGTTAATCTAGTTCGATGATTCAATTCAAAAAGTGAAACTCATATAAACTCTTTGCAAAGAAAGTGATATATTTCAAGCATTTTATGATTACAGATTCATGAAAACTTAAAATTTAGTTCCTTAGAAAATTGGAATATTTCGCAAAACCAATAAAGAAGGGTTTTTAATACAGAAATATTGGCCTAATGAAAAGTATGTTTATTACTGTAAAGTATTTTCACTCAATACTTGGTTGGGGGTCCTTTGGCATTAATGTGGATCGCTGAGGTGGTCTTTAATGGTTCTGGTGTCTCTCACCTTTCTTGTGATTAAACCCTAAAGGTTCCTGTGGAGTTTAGGTCGGGTGAGTTTGTTGGCCAGTCAGGGAGAGTGATGACACGACCATCAACAGGGCCTGCCCAGAGCATAGGCACTATAGGCAAATGCTAAGGGCTCCATCCAACTAGGGGGCGCCACAAATGGGGGACAAAAACTTTGTATAAATTATAATTAATTTAGCCTGTAAAATAATCACTGGTTACTAAAGTTTATGAAGGTTTCTCAGCCTGTTTTATTACTACAGAAAGTGTTATGTGGTGCAGAGGTTATTTCATGATAAAGTACAGAAAAATAACAGATTTTTTTGTGAAAATTACAGATCATTGAGGATCAAGATAAATATTAACATCAGAAGGGGCTGACATAATTATACTGTTTTAATAGGACCTCCTGGTGTCCAAAGGTAAAAAATAATGTCAACGACAAAACTATTTAATTTGGTATCTGAATATACTGTACGTAAATTAGCTGTGAGATTCAGACACACAATGGGAACCTGAAATACTGCCTAGGGGGTCACATTGGCTAGGGCTAACCCTAGTCATCAAACAGGTATTTGTACTTTTGGCAGTGCGGGCTGGCGTCAAGTCCCACTGGAAAAAAAAATCCTGGCAACTTCAAAAAACTTTGCAGAGAAAAGCATAAAGTGCTTCAAAAATCATTGTAGGCGGCTGCGCTGACTTTGGATTTTATAATTTAAAAAAAAACGACATTCCAAATTTCTAGGAAAAAAGATGTCAATTTTCATTAACTGTAAGCATTATTAATCAAAAATAAAAGAAATAAATGCTAAAAATATATAGG